GGATACAGATCACTCTTTCTGTCTAAGCGTCTCTTAAGTCCTTCCCATTAATACCTTGACCTTTAATGCCCTGTGCTGTTTGGAAATTTGTGTACATTTTTACTTTACCTTCCCTCATGCTATGGTGTAAAATTTTCTGAACCCCTTGGTCATATATCTTTCTTTTCAAAAGATGTACAAGGGCACTGTGTCTATCAAATAAGGGGCAACCTTTCTAAACACGTTTTATTTCTAACAAAAGGGTAACAAATCCACTTCATGCATACAACATTGCCCTTTCTAAAATGGACTTAAGCAAACAGTGGTAGCTGGTTCTTGCCAAAATTATTTTGAGCCCAATTTGTCTCCAAAATCTGCTACATCAAGCTACTGTGTCCTGAAGAGTGGGGTACATCCTCTACACATTTTTCCTAAGGTGAGGAGTTGGCTCTGGCTGTCCTCTTGGACAATTCCGTCATTCTGGTGGGTCTGCCTCACCTTCCCTCTATCTCATTCCCCTAGGACCTCAGAACCAACCTTTCTGGTATATAGCAAAGCCCCTCAAACCAACGGAAACAGGGCTATTGGGTCAATCAGGCAGCTATTGTGGAACAGAAAGGCTAAGGCTAAAGAGAAGCCCTCTGGCACAGGTGCCCTCACCCCAGAGTGGCTTGACAGGTGTGAGACCACGTGCCTCAGTGTAGAAGCCCAGAGCCAGCTTCTGGACTGCAGACTCAGTCACTAATTTGTCACTTAACCCCTTTGCCATCAGAAACCTCCTCTAGTGAGACAAAACCTAAAATAGAATCCGTTTAGAGGAACAAATTTTGCAAATCAAGTCATGGGTATCATTAATATTTTGGTCAAGTTTATATGGGTCACATAGGTACCTTAGGAAGGCATATCTTACCAAACATTTTACTGGTTTACTTTTTTTTTTTTTTTTTTTTTTTTTTTAATGAAAGAAAGAAAGAGAAAGGGGGAGAGAGAACAGGAGTCTTGCTCTATTGCCCAGGCTGGGATGCAATCTAAAAATAGGTATTAAAAACCTCTTTTATGCCGATAATTGTACTTAACAGTGGAGACAGGAAGGAATAAGGGAAGAAAATAGCAAACAAACAGCCAACCAATATTTTATTTAAATCTGTGAAATGCTCTGCAAATGCTGAAGAGTGATTTACTTCCATTTATGTGGTCACTTTCAAAATAGGTGTAATGTGATACTGAAAAAAATGTATGTTCTGTGGACCTGGGGTGAAGAATTCTATAAATATTCACTGAGTTTACTTGTTCCAGGTCTGAGTTCAAATCATAAATGTCCCTGTTAATTTTCTATCTCGTTGATCCATCGAATATTAGCAATGTGGTGTCAAAGTCTCCCGCTATTATTGTGCGGGAGCCCAAGTCTCTTTATAAGTCGTTAAGAACTTGTCTTATGTATCTGGGTGCTCCTATATTGGGTGCATATATATTTATGTTCATTGACTCCTGTTGTTACATTGATCCTTTTACCATTATGTAATGTCCTTCTTTGTTTCTTTTAGTCTTTGTTACTATTAAAGTCTATTTTGTCAGAGACGAAAGTTACAACTCCTGTTTTTTTTTTTGCTCTCCAGCTGGTTGGTGAGTCTTCCTCGAACCTTTTGTTTTGACTCTGTGTGTCGTTGCTTATGAGATGGATCTGTATACAGTGTGCTGATGGGTTTTGACTTTTTATTCAATTTGTGTGTCTGTGTCTTTGATTGGGGCGTTTAATCCATTTAAATTTAGGATTAATATTGATATTTGTGAGTTTAATATTGTCATTTAATGCTAGCTGGCTATATTGCCCATTAGTTGATACAGATTCTTCATTATGAAGATACTCTCTACCTTTTGGTAAGTTTTTGGGATGACTGATACTGGTTGTTCCTTTCTGTGTGTAGTGCTTCTTTCAGAAGCTCTTGTAAAGCAGGCCTTGTGGTGATGAAATCTGAGCACTTGCTTGTTCCTGAAAAATTTTATTTTTCCTTCGTTTATGAAGCTTAGTTTGGCTGGATATGAGATTCTGGGTTGAAAATTCTTTTCTTGGCCGGGCGCGGTGGCTCAAGCCTGTAATCCCAGCACTTTGGGAGGCCGAGGCGGGTGGATCACGAGGTCAAGAGATCGAGACCATCCTGGTCAACATGGTGAAACCCCGTCTCTACTAAAAATACAAAAAATTAGCTGGGCATGGTGGCGTGTGCCTGTAATCCCAGCTACTCAGGAGGCTGAGACAGGAGAATTGCCTGAACCCAGGAGGCGGAGGTTGTGGTGAGCCGAGATTGCGCCATTGCACTCCAGTCTGGGTAACAAGAGCAAAACTCCATCTCAAAAAAAAAAAAAAAAAAAAAAAAAAGAAAATTCTTTTCTTTGAGGATATTGAATATTGATCCCCACTCACTTCTAGTTTGTAGGGTTTCTGCTGAGAGATCTGCTGTGACCTGACCTTTCTCTCTAGCTGCCCTTAGAATTTCTCCTTTATTTCAACTCCGGTGAATCTAACGATTATGTGTCTCGGGGTTGCTCTTCTTGAGGAATATCTTTGTGGTGTTCTCTGTATTACCTGGAGTTGAGTATTGTCCTGCCTTACTAGGTTAGGAAAGTTTTCCTGAATAATGTCCTGAAGAATATTTTCTAACTTGGATTCATTCTCTTCATGACATTCAGGTACACCTATCAAATGCAAATTAGGTCTTTTCACATAGTCCCATATTTCCTGTACACTTTGCTCATTCCTTTTTACTTTTTATTCTCTAATCTTGCCTTCTCATTTCATTTCATTAAGTTGGCCTTCGACCTCTGATATCCTTTCTTCTGCTTGATCAATTCGAGTGTTAAAACCTGTGCATACTTCGTGGAGTTCTCCTATTGTATTCCTCAGTTCCATGAATTCATTTATATTCCTCTCTAAATTGTCTATTCTCGTTAGGATTTCGTCAAACCTTTTTTCAAGGTTCTTAGTTTCTTTACATTGGGCTAGAACATATTCTTTTAACTCAGAAGTTTCTTATTATCCACCTTCTGAAGCCTTATTCTGTTATTGGAATGCACTCATTCTCCATCAGGCCTTGTTCCCTTGTTGATGAGGAACTGTGATCCCCTGTAGAGGGAGAGGCATTCTGATTTTGAGTATTCTCAGCCTTTTTACGCTGGTTTCTTCCCGTCATTGTAAATTTATCCACCTGTTGTCTTTGTAATTACCGACTTTCAAATTAGGTCTCTGAGTGGACGTCCAACTTGTTGATTCCCAGCACCGAAATCTGAGCAACCCACTGCGCCAGCTAAAACAGCGGTGTTAAGATTCTTGGTGCTTTTCTGCCCAGGAATCTCCGGTCTAGCTTCCCTCTTGAGTCCCTTTTTCAATCAGCTGAATGGGCAACTCTGCCTTTCCGGAGCTCCAAACGTCGACCAAAAGGGGACCCAGTCCCGTTTACTCTGCACCGACAACCGCCACGCCAAGGCGCTGGCAAAACCGCCGCGCCGGCCACAAGAGTGGCGCTGGTGACCTGCGGGGCTCCTCCGCTGGGAATCTCCTGGTCCATGAGCAACAAAAATTCGTCTGAAAGTGTGGCATCCTCTTGTTCTCTGCGCTTTCACTGGGAGCTACAATCCTGAGCTGCTAGTAATCAGCCATCTTGGATCTCTCTCCCCTGGTTTACTTCTTTAAACATTTTACTGGTCACATGAAACATGATGTGATGAGATAAGTAAAACTGTTTGTAGATGGAAACCATGACTGCCAAGCAACAGTGATCTCCAGCTTATTGCATGGTGCTATATGTTCAGATGAACTCAAAATGCAGATGATTCTCTGAGGTTGAAGGACCTCTGCACCATTAATAACGTTGGCCCAAATCTGGATTGATTGTAATTTTGAGCCATGAATGTAAAAGTTGGAAGTGACCTGTGTCAGTCAAGAATATGTTCAGCCACAGATAACAGAAAACCTGGCCAACAGTGGCTTCGGCAAATAGGGGATCTTTTTTTTCACATAACATGATATTCAGAGGCAGATGGCAACTCCCAGTGGTTCACCCAATCCAATGCTGTCTGAGTCCAGGCTCTTTCAGCCTTTCTGCTCCATGTCACTTGGAGGTTTGGCATTCATCTTCAATCCTGTTGGCTCATAAGCTGCATGTCTATTTTTAAGGCAGAAACAAGTGAGGAGGAAGAGAGGGGCATTAGCTGCACCAGTTCCCCTGATTAGGAAAACAAAAGCTTATCTAGAAACCCCTCAAACTTTCTCAGACTAGAATCATTTTGGATTCTCATCAAAATGATGTCACATGACTATGCCTAGCTGCAAGGGAAGCAGGGAAATGGGTATTTCCCTGTCATCAGTGCCACAGAGGAGCTGATAGCAGAATCTACAGGGCCCTGGGGGTTCCCTCCATGGTGGAAGAAAGCAAGAGAGAATGAGCTTGAAAATGGATGTCTGAGCTAATACACTGTTTATCAAGACACAGCATAGAAATTCTTTCTAGTACTTTCATTGTACAAATGGCAAAAATGAGTTCCAGAAATGGAAAATAACTTGGCCAAGTTCCCATAATTGGGTGAATTTAGAGCCAAAACTGGAGCCTAGTTCTCTTAAATGGCAGTCCAGAAAGCTACCCACTGGACCACACTTCAGTCTGAGACTGAAGTTTTGCTGAGGAAGTAGAATATTATTCAGCAAATAAGGTAAGAGATATTAAACTACCAGCAGTGGCCAGAGGACATACAGCTTCCACTCTAGCCCTCTTTCCTCCTTCCCTCCCCAAGAATCTGAAATAATTTATTGGGAGTCACAGAAACTAGGTGAAGTCAAATCAGGTCTCCCCTCAGTTCTCTTCTGCTGTGTCAAGTTTTATCTTCTCATTCTTCAGCACATTGGTGTTTGTGTGTGGAATCACAGAATCAACCTCATGATGATGAGTGTCATGACAACATAAAATTTCTGTGTCATTGTTAATGTGCTGTTCTTGTCTTCTGCCCCCTTCTGTTATCGGACCAAACAGAAGTTTTCTGCTGTTTCTCTCTGCAACATCTCCACAGAAGTCCTGAAAGTCATCAATGCCACAGAGGAGTTGATAGCAGAATCTACAGGGCCCTGGGAGTCCCCTCAAGCCCCTCCTGACAGAGAGAAGGGGACATTTCCTCGTGGGACAGACCAAGTGAGACTGGATGAGCAGCTGACTTCCCTGGAAGAAAATGTAAGAGGGTGTGGGAGTGCCCTGTCTAGGGTGAATGTGTGTGAAGAAGCAACTGATGAAGTTGTAGTTTATCATGAAGAGGACAAGGACACACACACACACCACTACCACTATAGCAAATACATTCTCAGGAAGGGTCTTAGGTTGAATTCCCCAGAAGCAGACCCTGAGATGAAGACTTGTGTGCATGTGACTTATTAGGGAATACGTGCAAGGGAAGATGGTAAGAGAATGGGGAAAGTAAGGGAAAGGGAAGAATCCGAGCAAGGACATGATCTTACACAAAGAGTAGCTTCAGCCTGATCCTTCAGGGAGCTCTAGAGTAGCAGGTGCATCTCAAAGTTGTCCTGACCTAAGGTGAAAGAACTGGCCCTTCCTACAACCAGTAGGCACTTCAGTCTGTCTGCACGCAGGCAGTGTCTCCAGTAGCCCAAAGGCAGTCCTCTGTGTAGATATGGGCTGCTGGGAACAAAAGCACATGGAGGCTTGGTGGGCAGGGAGAGGAGTATAGAGAAACTATAAAAGAAATCCAAGGGGATCCAGGTGGGAGCATCGCCAGTGCCACTCCAGGGGATGAAGCGGTTGCCAAAAGAACTGAAGTTACTACAACTAGTCTTCTCTGCTTCCCTAATGTAAGATACCAACACGATCATATATAATTTATGTTTCCAATGAATCACCAAGCCTCCTTGTGGCATTAGCAACAAGAAGCCCACTGCCTTTCTTCTGAGTCTACCACACTACCCCAGAATTGTCCAAGCACTCTGGGAACTGAGTAAGACTCTATTGCATTACCTCATGACCACATCTAGACCTCCGACTGCCATCGCTTCCCCTCCCCCATTCCTATGCTCCCCACTAGGATGCTAACCAGCCATTGCTAGTGGATCTGCCGATCAAGAGGAAATGCCTAACATCAACTATATTTACAATTACATTTCTTCTTTGAAAATAAAACATTTAGCATAATGCTTGGCAAAAAGTACACAATAAATGCTGGCTATTCTTATTAGTATTTGGAAGGCATGTCATCAGCCAACTCCTAAAATGATCCCATTAAAATTCACTAAAGAATCAGTTGTTAAAAGTGGTTCCAACTTTAATAACACACACCCTTAGCTCTTTCTCTCATCCTGGGACAAGTATGCATTTGCTGCTTTCGAGAGAAAGACACTTGAGAAAGAAAGGAAATCAAACAAGTCCTATTGGTGATTCTGCTTTATTGAAGAAGCATCCATTTTTACTGAAGTGTAGGCAGAGTGGCCCAGAAGACTCATCTGCCTCATTCATCCCGTGTTTACTTGCTGCTTCTTCTGAGGACCCTGACTTAGGTAGCTGGGCCTTCCCTGGTGCCAGGTCCTTTTCTGCCTGAAGGAAGCCATGCCTGAGAGTCAGGGTCACCGGGAAAGGGAGTGAGATCTACCAGATGTCTGGAAAAGAGGAAGGGGATGAAGGGGAAGTTGCTCATAATCCATTTCAACATTTAGAAGGGTTAAAGACCATCAGCCAAGTCAGCTGGTTCCCTGTGGAAACTTACCAATGTACTTGGGGGAGGGAGGAGAAGACAGTCCTTACATTTACCTTTCTTCAGATTCAATTCCATTTAGTTTGTACTCCTAAAAGGTATTTGCAAGTATAATTATAGTCATGTGCTGCATAATAAGGTTTTGGTTAATGGCAAATCACATATATAATGGTGGTGGTCCCGTAAGATTATAATGCTGGATTTTTACTGTACCTTTTCTATGTTTAGATATATAAATAATTACCGTGGTGTTACAGTTGCCTATAGTATTCAGTACAGTAACATGCTGTAGCCTAGGAGCAACAGGCTAGGCATGAAGTAGGCTATACCATCTAGGTTTGCATAGGTACACTCTGTGATGCTCACACAATTATGCATTTCTCATAATATATCCTCATGGTTTAACAAACCATGACTATGGTTTGTTAGGTTAAAGGATTTTGTAATTTCCCCCTTCCTTTCAAAGAGAATAAAAAATTATTGGCTGTCAAGAGTCTAGGTGGCCTGCAGGAGGGGTGCATGTGACTGATGACTCAGGAGTTCAAGAACGCTCTCACTGCCCCTTGAGGAATTGCGTGTTCAGTTTGGCATAATAGGTATATTTGCTAGTAATGGATTTTTCAGTCCTTTTGATTTGTGATGAAGAAAAAACAATGTAAAAAAAAATATTACAGGTAAATATTCATGATCACTGTTGAGTATTTCAGGAAATAGCTAATAAGAATTTTCCAGTATTGCTCTAATGAATGCTGCTCCCAGAAATCAGGAATTGTTATTACAGGATTTTTTTTTCCCATTTATTTATTTTATTGCCTTTTAGGTTTTGGGGTACATGTGAACAACATGCAAGATTGTTGCATAGGTACACATGTGGCAGTGTGATTTGCTGCCTTCCCCCCCATCACCTACAACTGGCATCTCTCCCCTTGCTATCTCTCCCCAGCTCCCCACTCCCCACCGTCCCTCCCCTATTTCCCCCCAACTGACCCCAGTGTGTAGTGCTCCCCTCCCTGTGTCCATGTGTTCTCATTGTTCAGCATTCGCCTATGAGTGAGAACATGCGGTGTTTGATCTTCTGCTCTTCTGTCAGTTTGCTGAGAATGATGGTTTCCAGGTTCATCCATGTCCCTACAAAGGACCCAAACTCATCGTTTTTGATGGCTGCATAATATTCCATGGTGTATATGCGCCACATTTTCCCTGTCCAGTCTATCATCGATGGGCATTTGGGTTGGTTCCAGGTCTTTGCTATTGTAAACAGTGCTGCAAAGAAACATTCGTGTGCACGTGTCCTTATAGTAGAACGATTTATAATCCTTTGGATATATACCCCGTAATGGGATTGCTGGGGCACATGGAATTTCTATTTCTAGGTCCTTGAGGAATCGCCACACTGTCTTCCACAATGATTGAACTAATTGACACTCCCACCAACAGTGTAAAAGTGTTCCTATTTCTCCACATCCTCTCCAGCATCTGTTGTCTCCAGATTTTTTAATGATTGCCATTCTAACTGGCATGAGATGGTATCTCAATGTTTTGATTTGCATTTCTCTGATGACCAGTGATGATGAGCATTTTTTCATGTTTGTTGGCCTCATGTATGTCTTCTTTTGTAAAGTGTCTGTTCATATCCTTTGCCCACTTTTGAATGGGCTTCTTAGTTTTTTTCTTGTAAATCTGTTTTAGTTCTTTGTAAATTCTGGATATCAGCCCTTTGTCAGATGGGTAAACTGCAAAAATTTTTTCCCATTCTGTTGGTTGCCGAGTCACTCTAATGACCGTTTCTTTTGCTGTGCAGAAGCTGTGGAGTTTGATTAGGTCCCATTTGTCTATTTTGGCTTTTGTTGTCAATACTTTTGGTGTTTTGGTCATGAAGTCTTTGCCTACACCTATGTCCTGAATGGTTTTGCCTAGATTTTCTTCTAGGGTTTTTATGGTGTTGGGTCTTAATGTTTAAGTCTTTAATCCATCTGGAGTTAATTTTAGTGTAAGGTGTCAGGAAGGGGTCCAGTTTCTGCTTTCTGCACATGGCTAGCCAGTTTTCCCAACAGCATTTATTAAACAGGGAATCCTTTCCCCATTGCTTGTTTTTGTCTGGTTTGTCAAGGATCAGATGGTTGTAGATATGTTGCGTTGCGTCTGAGACCTCTGTTCTGTTCCATTGGTCTATATCTCTGTTTTGGTACCAGTACCATGCTGTTTTGATTACTGTAGCCTTGTAGTATAGTTTGAAGTCCGGTAGTGTGATGCCTCCCACTTTGTTCAGGATTTTTTTTTTTTTAAGTAGAGATGGGGTCTTGCTCTGTTGCCCCAATTGGTCTAGAACTCCTGACCTGTCAAGTGATCCTCCTGCCTTGGCCTCCCACAGTACTGGGATTATAGACAAGAGCCATTGTGTCCAACCTGAAGTATTTTTTGATAAAAGTTGAAACAACAACAAATTTTTTAAATGCAGGCTAGGTGTGATGGCTCACGCCTGTAATCCCAGCACTTTGGGAGACCAAGGGAGGATTGCTTGAGGCCAGGAGTTCGAGACCAGCCTGGTCAACATGGTGAGATCCTATCTCTATGAATAAATTTACATATATCTATACTAATGCTTGTTTCACTTTAAAAGTTGAAGATACTCTCCCTTGGGGCTCCCATAAAGCCTATGCATGTATCTGTCTGATCACTTTTCATACTTTGCATCTTTTCTGTTCCCTCATCCATCTCCCATTAGGCTGGCACTATTAACATTTGGATTAGATAATTCTTTGTGTGGGGCTGTCCTGTGCACAGTAGGATAGTTAGCAGCACCCCTGGTCTCTACCCGCTAGATGCCAGTAGCAGCATACTCCCAGTGTGACGGTCAAAATGTCTCCAGACACTGTCAAATGTTAGGGTTTTGGGGCAGGGCAAAATCAGCCCCAGATTGGGAACAAGATATATAAATTCCTGAAAAACAGGGTTTACCACCTTTTATGTCTGTAGCCTAGCCCCAGTGCACCACCCAGAGCCTGACACAGAGGAAGCACTTAGTGAATGATTAGCTGATGTATGACTACGCCAGAGGAATGACGTCCTTTTTTAAAAGAACTGCTTGACTTCTCACATGCAGGGTCTCTGTTCTTTAAATGTGTCTCTAACACAGCTGAGTCCTGAGATGGCCCAGATCCTGGACACACTGAATTGAAAAGGTTAAAGACAGGGTTCACTAGCAAACGAATGTATTTTTTACAAAGTATGGTATCAAAAAACAGTGTGTGAAATATCTGGTTTAAATGACAATGGTCAGTTCTCATGGCATACTTAAAGATACCCTGCCCTTTTATTTTTACGTCCAAGGAGCATATTGAAAAGAATGCAATGGCCTTATTGGAGTTTTCATCTTGTAAGATCCTTTAATTGTAAGTTATGTGTTTTGTTTTTTTTTTTCCTTGCGTTCATTGACAGTTTCAATTTAAAATGCATCCACTTACAGACTGAAGAT